GGGGGGGGGGGGGGGGGGGGGGGGGGTGACCAAGGACGAATGGAGCGAGATCCTTGGCGGGGGCCTGAACGACCTCGTAGCTTTTTATTTGCATGATGCAAAGACTGATGACATCCTCTACTCCGGCGGTCCATGTGAACGCGCACTCACTGCCAACTCGGGATTCAAAAGCGGGGTATTACATGGTGTTTTACCCAAAGCCGCAAAGTTTTAAAAGGACATGTTTTAGTATTATTCACAAAAAATAAGTACTTTTTTTTTTTTTTTTTTTTTAATAAACGAATTGGCTCAGATTTAGCACCAGTTTCATGCAAAAACCTCCATCAGAGATTGTGGCATCACTGTGAACTCAGGCCACCATCAAGCAGATAACACCTTTCTGACATAGAGACAATGCTATTCAATAGCGGTGGGTATCAGCAAAGAGATCCTCCGTTTATAATATATTGATATATTGCTGATTCGATATGTGTGGCAAATGTTAAACAGAAGAGCGATTGAGGTCTGCATTTAAAGTGAAGACCAGGGCTGTAATGGCATACTTAATGTGTAGTATTCAGTTACAACATTTTCAGTTTGGAACGTGCAATGAGACGAATAAATAACATTACCTGAGACACATGAAACCTAAATTACAAGTAAATTATACCAACAACAGAGAGAGTAGTTGATAACATCAAGAATGTCTGTCAGTTCTATTATACTGAACTTGGATCCATTGCTGGAAACATATCCAACATACTAACTCATGTGAAAAAAAATCATTACTAATTATTATCAATAATTTATCACTACAGATATCTGACCATACTTGGTAGCAGGAAACATAGGATTTAGTTCATTACCTTTGTTATGATAGTCATATAATATTTATCTTTTTCTTATACTTTTTGCGTGCAAATGTGTCTCTTAGGTTTTATTATTCAGACGTGGACAGACACGTTGCCATATGTTTGGTTTACAATTGCTCCTACATAGTGTTTGCAATTTTAATAATAATTTCAAAACAAATTCTGTTTCAAGATTCAAGATGGTTTATTGTCATTCTGAGAACATGGGGGTAGCATGTTAGGGAATGAGATTAGGTACCGAGGTCTCATGAACAGCACTATAGTTTAACACAAACATTTACTTCTAGGAAGAAGAAATGGTTACAAGTGATTTGAAGTGCAGCTGGTGCTCGGGGAAGTATAAAGGGCTTCAAAACGGGTAGAAAAGGTGTGCAGAGCATCGGGGAGAGACTGAACCCGAGGGCATTCGGTGTCTCTTTGGCTGTAGTTCATGACAATCTTGTTGACTGCTCACATGCTCCAGGGCTCACTGGTGTGACCCTGAGTTTTTCCCTGCTGTACCAAAATAGTCCCTAACCATGAAACCAAGCAGACTGCCATATTCGTGTCTAGGTGTCCATTTACTTTACAGTTTGCCCAAACATTGGCTTTCAATTGAGATGGTACAGGAAATGTCTCTGCACATGCATACTCACTCATTCATGACAGCACCGTGCAGTAACAAATGCGACCAACCAAATTTCAGTAAGACATGTTTAAATTTATGTTCGGCAAACGATTTTTTAACTCTCATGGCAATATTATAATCACCGCCTGGAAGAACTGCGATTTGTAACGGAATCAATTCCCACCCTCGCAGAGACAGCACGAGAAACAACTCCTGTAGTGTGACGTGTCTGCAGTTTTAGACATTAGGCGATGGTCACAAAGGTAACAAAGGCCATACAGAGTAAATGACAGCAGTGGACCTCTCAGTGTTCCTGTATTGGGCTCTATAGCTTAGTGCGCGTGTGTGTATGTGTGTGCGTGTGTGTATGTGTGCGTGCGTGTGTATGTGTGTGCGCGTATGTGTATGTGTGCGTGTGTGTGTATGTGTGCGCGTGTGTGTGTGTGCGCGCGTGTGTGTGTGCGCGTGTGTGTATGTGTGTGCGCGTGTGTGTGTGTGTGAGCGTGTGTGTATGTGTGCGCGTGTGTGTATGTGTGCGCGTGTGTGTATGTGTGCGCGTGTGTGTGTATGTGTGCGCGTGTGTATGTGTGCGTTTGTGTATGTGTGCGCGTGTGTGTATGTGTGCGCGTGTGTGTATGTGTGCGCGTGTGTGTATGTGTGCGCGTGTGTGTATGTGTGTGCGTGTGTGTATGTGTGTGCGTGTGTGTATGTGTGTGCGTGTGTAAATATGACCCACGAGCCTGGGCACCCAGTGGACCCACTGCCTTGCTATTTAACAGCACAGCCTTGTTATTAGCAGGAACAGCACCCACAAATTACCACAGGTATATGTAGGGCTTCACAGGTAGGCGACCCAGCTCTGTCTCCTGCCCTCCCAGTGCTCCCAGTCTCCGGATAAGACTCTTCCAGGCCCCAGCATGAGGCGCGTAGTTCTAGCCAGCCTGGTTCTGTTGGCCTGCCTGGGCCTCACACTGACCCAAGACGCCAGCAGCCCACCCGGGACGTCGGGCAAAAGGCGGAGAGGCGGCGGCGGGCAGGCCCGGCGAGGCGGGAGGAACGGGCCGGCACAGCAGGCAGGCCCCAGAGCCCCGGCCCGGCATGGCGGGGCCCCCCTGAGCCACGCTGACGACGGGGCCGCCGTGTTCATCGACTCCTACAGAAGCATCCAGGGCCTGGAGTCCAGCTACAACGTGTTGCCAGGTTAGCCAGCGGCCGCCACAGTAAATGTTACTCAGAGAGATGGGTGCAGGCTGCTTTCGCTGTTGTAAGTGATCCATCCCACAATCCCTTGTGTAAGTCATATTTTACGCAAGTCAGATTTACCTTCCCATACCATTCATGACGCCTTATAGCAAAAATCCAAAAATATTCTCGGTAATATGTACTAAAGAACACAGATAAATGAAAAAATAAAGTGTAAATTTCCTTAGAGTTGTGTCAACTTTTTGCGTTAGTGCTTCTGGAAACTACCGTAAGTCCGAATTTACGTAAGCTGAGAGCTGTCTGTACCTGATCCCTGCTGTCCCTGACATGAGAAAGCACACGCGAGGCTGTTCACATCACTGTTTGGAATGAAAATATAAAGGGGAGACTGCAGGCATTTGCATCCAACCTCCTAACTGGCTGGAAACTTTCAGCATCTCGGTGCCTAAAGCAACTAGAGCAAGGACAGCAACAGAGTAACTGACACTCACTGCCACGGCACTTCATAACAAATATACCATTAAATCTCAGCATCTGTTAGTATTAGATTTTATTAGATATTATTATATATTAGTTTTGTAGTCAGAATCCACGTAGATAACTTCCAAATTCAACTGTGTAAGAAGTCTTAAATTGCTGAATAATCAAAAGCCTTCTAATCATTAACCAATATAACCAGCGTGAGTGTGAGAATTTTGACCCATCGTGAGCAAATATTAAGGTATAAATGTGTGCGCTTTAGTTCAGGGAGATTCCAAAGAACGGCTAGGCCGCGCCTGAGGGCTGAGCTTGGGTGGCACGTTCGGCCTCCGCCATCACTCTGGCTGTGCGTCACCCACCGTGGAGCTGCCAACTGACCACATGAGACCAACCTCGCACGCCAGTGGTGAATTACTGAACACATGGCTGTGAGAGATCACGGCCGCGTGGCCCAACACCCGGCCACAGCCCCACCCACTAAGTACAGAGCATGGATCGCTGGCCAATACGGTGTCAGAAACTTTCACATCCACCTCTCTACTCACAGCGAGCAAAGCGAAGGCCGCCTGACAAAATATACGTAAGATATTTACTATTAGAATTAAGCTTGACATGTATACTTCACTGCTCCCTCCCTCTTTTCTAATTACATTGTAATAACATTTATTGCCATCGTGTTGTCTTATCTGACATCAAAAGGAAGTAATATCCAGCTAAAAGACGGAGCCTGACAAAAGAGTTTCCGAAGGAACTTGTTGAAACGAGTCAAATCTATAACTTGATGAAACAAGCTGGATTAGATTACGTTCTGCTTTGAGTCAAGACACCTTACAAATTCTGGTAGCATGCGAGAACAAATTAAGATGCAAGAAAACGTGCTTCCATATTAATTAACTCAATGTCAAATGATATGAATAATAAAAGTTAAACCTAGTAAAGCTGAGCATTTCACATATGATTTCTGCTAAATGCCCAGCCAGTGTCACTCTGAGGAGAGATTTTGAAGGGCAGGTCACACATTCAAAGGGCACCTTAACGGGAGCGTGAAGGATTGGAACAGGGTGGATAAAAAGCTAAGGCGCTTCTTGTACAAGCATATCGAGAATGTCTTCAAAGTGCAAAAGCAAGTCTCAAGTTTCCACTTGACTGGAGTATATGATCTCTGCGGAGGACATATTTTAAGTGCTTGGTACATGGTGTAATTCGCATAAACCCCATAATTATCCATCCTTAACACTGAGGCCACGTAAGAAGGCTGAGCTCCTGCTTTGTATCACAGTATTTTAACTACATACTGCAGTCAGATAAGTGACAGACGGAAACTCGATTACAGAGCGAAAAAACGAGGCGTTTTATTTTCTTGGTGAAGGGATTGTTGCGTACTGCCGATGACTATTGTTTAGTTATTTAGGAGGGCTGTTGTTATTATAATTATAGTATACAATACAGCATATAATATTATAGATGATGATTTTACAGTCATATAGTGGTAGAATAGTAGTGAAAAATGCAGATTTGTGAATAAGAAAACATTCACAGGGTAGCAGTTGTACAAAGGGATGTAAAAGGCAAAGCTGTGCTAACCAAGTCACTGTGAACAAGTGCCATCAAGTAAACAATATTCCCACCAGGAGTTTCTCACTGCGACACCCCCTCCCTCTGCCTGTGGCCCCCTTTCTCAGGGAAAACTGGGGCGTGTCAGTACCAGGGCATCACCATGTTCGACACGGCAGTCTGGTCCCCCAGGCCCTGCATCACCTGCCTGTGCTCCAGCGGGGAGGTGGTCTGCGATGACTTCATGTGTCCCCGGCTGAGCTGCCCATTCACAGCCACCCCCGCAGGGGACTGCTGCCCCGTCTGCATGGACCTTGGTAAGTGGCCTCACCGTAACCCCACCCACACCAAAACGGACGGAGATGCTAGCTAACCCCGGTGCACATGCCTGGCTCTCACATGACGCATTACATGTGACATCTTCTGACAAACCTGTACATAAACAACAGTGAAACATTTGGAATCTGGCACCTGCCTTCAGTCATTCCCGCCCCCCCCCCCGTGGATTTCCGTCATTAAATGACAAAACTTACAGTATTGTCAACAACGTCATTGCAGCATGTATTTGCTGGTTCCTACAGACCCCCGGGATGCACATATGTCTGTCAACACTGGGGCGAGACATGCTACGCTATGCTGTGCCCTTCGGTAAAACCCCCCGGTTTCATTTGTGGCAGATGTGAGACAATGCTAATCACCCGCAAAGGACTTTCTCTTGGATGAGTTTGTCACAAGCTAACTTTAGGAAATGCAGAGATTGAGGGCGAGATCTGAAGCCAATGTTTGCATGGAAATACTTTATTCTGCCTGGATTAAGTTTGGTAATTAAGCGTTTCAAGGCTTCATATAGTCTATTGCGTTTGCTTTCCAGCATACATTATGGGACCTGATGAATATGGAACATGATCCTGAACAATTAGCGTTACCTTTTGGTGCCAGTAATGCTTAACGTGTAGAGCACGTGGCAGGATTAGCATTAATGCCACATACAGCAGGTGACATGGGGACACTGCTTTCTCTGGCAGGTTTCGCAGGCTTCCAACATGGGCCTATTAATCATGTGTTACCTCTGGCTGCACACTGAAAATAATCAACTGCACGCATTCAATCACGCAAGCCAGGCATGGCTGAGATCAACAAGAAGTATGTTTTACTTTAGTTATTTGAGGAACAAAATGCTCGTCTACCTACCGCTGGCTAGATTAAGAAAAATAAGGCAATTTTCCTACTCAACTCATCAGGTCTTTCGCCGGTGCGTCCAATGCTCACAGATTCATTGCCGGTGTTTCAGTCAACGTTCGACACGCTGTTTTCGAGTTTCCGGTGCCCACTGTTAACTAACGGCTGGGAGCTTTTCGCTGGAGTATAGTTTTGAGATTCCAAGAGACTCCACCAAAAACTCAGCACTCAAACCAGTATGAACGGCAATGACCTATCAGTCTGTGTGCTGAACCTCACAGTGAACAAGACCATGTGGCACTACACGAAGACAGCATCTTCAATCATACCCACATGTGGGTTTGTCCTCCAAAAGCGTGCATAAATACAGACACAGATGTTATATAACATGTAGCTACCTTTACTAGCATTCTTACCGCTTAGTTAATGGTCTGTCCCATTAGTGACATGTACAAACACATTGATGAAATCAGATAGTCATTTACACCACCCTGTCGAGCTGACAAAGGCAACATGCTTCTAGGAAATGACTTATTTTAAGGTATGGTACATCCCATTCCCAGATAAACATAATAAGCGAACTACCAGCAAAATTACTTCCTGGAATAAGAGATGAGAATACTTTCTTTAAAACATAATGAAACATTTAAAATTCTGATAAGTCTCTTAATGATATTTGACAGTTTAAATAGCCTACATAAGGCCTGTTGTACATAATTTCCCGAGCTTGGGACAAAATTACTGCAACCAGGCCCACTGACGTGCAGCACCCCCCCCCCGCCCTCGAGATGGCCGGCCTAGTCTACATGGGAGAATCTCCCAAGGCCGTTTTGTGTCTCCCCCTCCAATCCTGAAACCACACTTGGTGTGTTGCTTGTTTCCTCAGCCCCCGACAGCCCAGAGATTTCCGGCGATTCTCCACTGCCTGACACCCCCCACAAGACAGGAATGAATGCAGCCCCACCTCAAACCCGCATCAGGACCGACGAAATGCTGAAGGAGAAGGAGCAGGGGGAAGTGCTCCCAAAAAAAGACGCCAGACAAAAGAGGAAAAGGAAGGAGAAGAAGCCGGAGGCTGAGAAGCATCAGAAACCCCTGGCAGAGCTGTGGAATGAGGAGGAAGAGGAGCAGAGAGAGAAGGAGGTGAAGGAGACGTGGAGGGTGGAGGCAGGGAGGAGGCAGGAGGCGGTAGAAGAAAGGAAACTGGAGGTGGAAGAGGAGAACTTGCGAGACAAAGGAAGGAGGGAGGAGCTGGAGGCAGAAGAGAGGAATCTCTTAAGAGCCATGCAGGAGGTGCTGGAGGCCATGGAGAGCAGAGAAGAAGAGGAAGAAGAGGACAAAGTATGGTTGAGAGGTGATGTTTTTGAGATGCCAGAGGAGAGCCACACAGAAGAGGAAATCCCGCCCCTTCCGGAACCTGAGGAGGAAGTGATGGGCGGGGCACCCTCCCTGCCGGCCGGCTGTACCATCTCTGATACCGCGGTCACCTGTGAGAATGCCGAGCTGACCAGCATCCCGCCCCTGTCCCTTCCCGAACTTAAGGAGCTCAGCCTGGAAGGTAAGCACCTCCACGCAGGCCAAAAGTCTGCTGCTCGCCCTCGACCAGCAACGCTGCTTAGAAGGAATTTCCAGAAGCAAGGCCACTCGGTGCAGAAATCTGCGCTCAGGCTGTGAGGACCCCGCGTGACCCTGTCAGAGGGGGAGTTCGTAAAACTCAGTGTTGGCGGGAATTGTTTCCATGTGTACATAGCAACAGCATCCCGATGACCTGCTCATCAGCACGCATACAATCGCATTGAATAAGAGATGCCTGTCAGACAGTCCTGATTAATGGCGCTGTAAAATCCATAAGTGATATTTTATGATGGATAACCTCTGTGACTGAATGTGAACATTGTCCTTTTGAGGGAATGCCATAATGAGCATCCCAGCAGAGGCGTTCAATGGCATCCCTAACCTGGAAAGGATCAACCTCGGGAAGAACAAGCTCACCTCGGCCGGCATCAGTCCACATGCTTTCAAAGTGAGTGACTGCAATCATCACCCCCTTGTTCTCTTCTTCCTTCCATTCATTCGTCCACCAATCTATCTATCCAACCATTTTCTAACTGCTTATTCTGAGCAGGGTCACTTTCCATTTCTTCCATTTTTTTTTTGGGGAAAAAAAAAACATGAATCAAATCTTCCAACCACATTTAGCAAAGCCATCTGGGAGAATGTTTAAGAGTAAGACTTTCAAAGGCAAACCAGCCTCACAGAAAATTCACCTTTTAGGCAGAAAGGGTTTCAAAACACACATTTCAAAATGTTTTTCTTTCATGCTGCCATGCTCAGTCCAGGAACCACCAAATTTCACTGCTTATGTACAGTTATTCACTCCCCCCCCCCAAATGTGCATGGATCCATGTCGTAGGATCCGACGGATCCCTTTCAATTCTGACTATACACTCACCTAAAGGATTATTAGGAACACCATACTAATACGGTGTTTGACCCCCTTTCGCCTTCAGAACTGCCTTAATTCTACGT